CTTTAACATTACAGACCTGCATTTGTTTTATGCGGTCACTTGGTTCCGCGAATGCGAAATAGACATGTTTATAATCAACCAATTGTGAATTTCACCGTCAAGAATTAAAATAAAACGCAATGTTTTATATAATAAGCGGAAGTCGAAGCAATAAAACCGATGGTCGTTTTGTTTACAGTTTCTCTGTTTGGCTCTTACGTATGCTGTTACGCTTGTCATCTTAAATTAAGAATGTTTATACATAAACGATTTTCAGTTGCCCCTCATATTACTAGACAGCGGATTTCTGTCGGGCTACGTCACGATTATAGGGGGGGGACGTGCTGGATTCCATAAATATAATTAACGATTTATTAATCAAACGGCTAAGTAAATGAGAACGGGAATTAACAGCAGAGTGCAACGAAACAACGTTATTCTAATCTCAAATAAACGAAGTGCAGTCCGCAACGGCAATGAATTCGCATCCCGTGCGAGCCGTACCGAGTTTGGCCTTGCCTAGCCCGACAGAAATCCGCTCTCTAGATATTACACACCGGCGCCGTATACGTGAGTAAATTGTTTCGTTATTTTATTGATTATAAGAAATCAATATTCAAAACGACCCAATTCATTTTCCCGAAAATTTGGGAACACAATAATTTTATTCTTAGTATTACACTACATCTATCCCAACTGATATACGTGTCCTTGTAAAAATGTTGATGACGTCATCACAATTTTTTTTTAAATTCCCACTACAAAAATGTAATGAGAAAAAAAAACATAATAGGCATGCAGTCGTCAAGTTTCCGACAGCGAGGGAAGTACTGTCTAAACTCTTTAGACCAATTTTTTCTTTTGTGCTACGATTAGTATTAACTATGTTGATGACGTCATCATAAATTTTGTATCGGTCAAATTAAGAACGAGTCTTTGTTTAATAATGGTATTCAAAACATTTCGTTCGACTGTAGTAGATTCTGAAAAGTGAAAAATTGAAAATTAAAATAATGGAAAAATACAGAAATCAAGAAATGGAAAAACTGAGGTTGTGAAATACAAAAATTGAAAAATAAAGAAGAATCTAAAAGTTCCAATAATCGCAAAACTGAAAAATTAAAGCTTTTAAAACCGAGATACTACAAAATCAACCTGACCTGATCTAGCCTGACCTGACCTGACCTGACCTGACCTGACCCTCCATGACCTGACAAGCATCGGATCACCGCTTTGAGTGTGAGGGAAGTACTGCATAATTTCTTTAGACCAATTTTTTCAGTTTATTTTTATTTTTGGAGCATATTCAACTGCTTATCTCTGCATATATTAAGAAAGTTGTTGCATATTTGCATAAATTTGATGCATGTCATATGATCATATTTCCCAAAATTTTGCTGCATATTTTCCGCTCTCTAATCATTAGTTTAAATATGTATACATATTTTATATCAATTTGTAAAATACTTCATGAGATCATGATTAAATATTAATACGAGTTTTCGCTTAAAAAAATTTTGTGATGACGTCATCAATTTTTTGGGAGGGGATAAACGAATAAATTTTACTGAAGGATTTACTTTAAAATATTATTTTATTCAAAGTTAAATTGCAAAATATTTTTATCCAGTTTTGAAATTTTTTCCAAAAATCTGGATGTCTAGGGTGAAAATTCGACAAGGATTCACACCACAAATGCAGGAATATTTTATTTTATAAAATTAAAAAAAAAAAAACTGACTTATAAATTTTGGAGACGACGTCATCCCTTTAGTGATGGGGACGATTAGCCAAATTTTAGTTAGCATTTAACGATCTAGATGATATTCCTAGTGTACATACAAAATTTGGCAACAATCGGTCTGGTAGTTTCGGAGATTACTTGTCTTAATAAAAATGTATACAGACACCAGACAGACAGACAGACAGACAGACGGACGGACGGAAACGGGAGAACACTGTTTTCATAATCTAGAGGTTATGACACGTCGAGAAAATATGAAAGTGGCAATTTGGGCAATGAACTCGATTACTATACTTTCTTAGCTTCCGCACAGGAAGTAAAAATTTCAATAAAGTAGGAATAACGTGGCAACGTCGCATTGGAATTTTAAAAATAAACTGTGGTTATAAAGCCTAACAAGGGGGCAATGAGAATATGTAAAAATATGAATATGAGTGTATAGTCGTCTAAGAACCGTACAATTTTAGTCTGTGACTTTTTTCTGTTTCTAAAATTAATGAGATATCGAGGAGCGCAGCGCGCGCTTAGATTCACCCTGTATACATCCATGCCAAATAAAAAAAGGATTTAGATAGTTTTATTCGTTTTTTTTTTGTTCTATAATTTTTGTTGTGTTTTATGATAGTTGTAAATTCATGTATTATATTAATAAATCTCTTAAATAACGTAAATTTCTACGTATCATATGATCTAAAAAAAAAATAACTCCTCTAGGAGGCCGTGCAATTTATTTTTATTGCATTTCAGCTATCTGATCCTTTATTTGACAGTTATTTGACCGTAACTGTCAAATTGAACAAGGAACGCCGTTGGGGTTGCCACCATAATTATTTTAAAAATAAATCACAGACCCTACTCGAGCGAAGTTTTTTTTCTTCGATCATATGGTACTAGTGGTAATAGTTTATGTAATTGTGTGAAATTTGGGAACCGAAGTATAAAAAAAGAAAGTCCAAAACGTTTGTGAGTAGGATGTTGTTGACTTGACGCATTAGATGACGTTACAGATAATAATTGTCGGATCTATAACGAGACGTTAGTCGTGGGAGTAAAAAATGAGCACATAAATATTTTATGTGTTTATGTAATGAAGATCAAAATTATAATGGAGAAATCTGAAATAGCTGAAATTTATTGTAATCGATGAGCAGACAAAAAAAATATTGAATTTAATTGCATAAAATCTCATTCTTGGTTCATAGAAAACGTTGAATTAACAGACAGAAGTGATGAAATCGTATAAAACAGGTTACGGTATGGTGCGGTAAGTAACTTCAGCCATTGTAAAAAATACAATAGTAATAATAAAGCAACTAATTTTAAAATTAAGAAATAAATAAAATGCGCATTCTTAACGGTTGTACTCTTTTGAAGTAACTTTAAGTGGTGTCATCGATATTTTTTCTTTCTCGAACGTAAGCTAAAGTATTATTGTACAGTTGAATCGGAATCTTGGGCAAGGTTGTCACTGATAAAGTCTAAAACATCCTTTAGAAACTCCTAACTCATTTTTTGTTTGTTTGTCGTTACTGTTATGTTAATTTATAAAATGACATCTGCCAAAATTAATTTGACTGTTTTTTAAAATATCAATCACAATGACAGTAATGACGTGGGTATTCTCACATTTTCTAGAAAATGAAGTTTTTAATTCGATCAATAAGAAATTGGTTGAAGGCTATAGGTATAATCCGACAAATGTAGCTCTTTAAAAAAATAATAAAATTTAATTTTACGATTTTCGTTTTGTGATAACCGCTGTAAAGTAAAAACCAGTAAAATCTGAAGCTCAAGTGTTTATTTATTATGATTAGCCATTTTTTGGTTAGCATTTAACCATCTACACGATATTTCTAATATACATACAAAATTTGACAGCAATCGGTCCAGCAGTTTCGGGGATTACGTGTCTAATAAAACCGGATACAGACAGACAGATAGACAGACAGACGGACAGACGGACAGACAGACAGACAGACAGACAGACAGATAGACAGACAGACAGCCAGACAGATAGACAGACAGACAGACAGATGGACAGACGGAAACAGGAGACTACTTTTTTCGTACTGTAGGAGTCATGAAACGTCGAGAAAACATAAAAATGGCCATTCGTCCGACAAACTCAATTACGATACTTTTTTCGCTTCCGCTCGGGAAGTAAAAATAGAGTAAAATGCAGTGGTAGCATACAGAGTGTTCCATTTGAAAAAACTCAAATATCCATATTTGAAGATTGTAAAGTTTTAGATTTTTTTATAAATACCCCATATATTAAAATATTATTTAATTGATACGCGTACCTCTAGATAAAATATTGCAACACAGATCTTAAAAATAACATTATTGCGTTTTTTGTGAACCCATGCACTGTTAAAAAAATTGGTCTAAAGAGTTTAGACAGTACTTCCCTCGCTGTCGGAAACATGACGACTGCATGCCTATTATGTTTTTTTCTCATTAAATTTTTGTAGCAGGGCAATTAAAAAAATGCGATGACGTCATCAACATTTTTGCAAGGACACGTATATCAGTTTGGATAGATGTAGTGTAATACTAAAAATAAAAGTACTGTATTCCCAAATTTTCGGGAAAATGAATTGGGTCGTCTTGAATATTGATTTATAATCAATTAAATAACGAAACAGTTTACTCACGTATGCCGCGTGTTTTAGCCGACTCAAAATCATTTATGTATAAGCATTCTTAATTTAAGACAACAAGCGGTAACACTAGTTGAGATTGTACACGTAAGAGTCAAACAGAGAAACTGAAAACAATACCGATGGTCACCCAGACTTTTTTATTGCTTCGACTTCCGCTTATTATATAAAACATGGGATTTTATTTTAATTTTTGATGGTGTAATTCACAATTGGTTGATTATAAGTTGTCTATACCACATTCACGGAACCTAGTCAGGGCAACAAAACAAATGCATGTCTGTAATGTAAATTTTGTGTCTATCAAATTGGGTTGGTGCGGTGTAATATTAATAATAACAGTGTTGTATCTCCAAATTTTCGGGAAAATGGAGTGAACTATTCCTGATTTAATCAACAAAATAAATTGACTCATTCAAAAATTTATTTTTAAAACAATGATGTTGGCAACACTACCGCGTTCCTTGTTTTTGTTTAGTTTGGCACACAGGTTTGGCAGTTAAATAAATGTCAAATAAAGTGTCAAATAGCTGCAATACCAACATCAATACTTTAAAAATAAAATTTTAGGGACTTTTTTCGATCATATGGTACAATAACAATGACAAACTTACCACTCCTCATTGATCTCCTCATTTGTCCTAGGCAGAATCCTCATCACCTCCCCCGTTCTCGTCGATACAACAATATTTGACCCAATTGCATCCAAAACATCAATAGAATCAATCTTGCGAATTTCCCACGGCCTGGCAGTAAAACTATACGGTTTGCTAGTTAAAGCCCCCACAGGACACAAATCAATAACATTCCCTGAGAGCTCCGACAAAAAGAATTTCTGTACATAAGTTCCAATTTCCATACCCGATCCACGACCTGTTGTCCCCAAATCATCAACTCCTGCGACTTCAGATGCAAAACGAATACATCTCGTACAGTGAATGCACCTAGTCATTATAGTCTTAATCAAAGGCCCGATATCCTTATCTTCAACAGCCCTTTTACCGGAGAAATCTATATCTGTAAATCTCGATCTATCCGAACCAAACGCCATACTCTGGTCTTGGAGATCGCATTCGCCACCCTGGTCGCAAATGGGGCAATCCAGGGGGTGGTTCACCAGCAGAAACTCCATGACGCCTTCGCGGGCTTTTTTTGTCATTTCCGATTCGGTTTTAATGCGCCAGCCTACAATTATTGGTTAAATGTGTGACAGTTGAACCTGGGGGAAATACCTTTCATCACTGGCATAGCACAAGCAGCTACTGGTTTAGGAGACTTTTCTACTTCTACGAGACACATTCTACAGTTGCCGGCAACCGCCAGTCTCTCATGGTAGCAAAACCGGGGGATTTCAATCCCGATGAGAGCAGCGGCTTGAAGAACCGTCGTCCCAGGTTCCACCAACACAGGTTGATCATCAATGAAAACTTCGATTTTTTCAGGTTTCTTGGCTACATCGCTCGAAGCTCTAGATACTACACTGACATGCTTAGGGCTTAGTTTGGCCGCATTTAGGGCCTTAATTAAGGTAGTGCGCAGCATAATCTGCAACAAATCACGCTTTTTAAGACTTGAATTCCATTACATAATGTGGACGTTTTATAACCAAACTTTTTAACCACAGGGTGGAAAAATCAGGACACTAAACCTACTTAACAAATGGTTCTTTTTCACTATTTTCTAGTTGTTAAACGATAAAGTCAATATTTAATTTTACCGTATTTTTGTAATTTTTCCAACAATAATAAACGTCAAAAAATGACGTCCATTACGTCAACTGCAAGCAAACGTCAAAATGAAAAATTTGACAGGAGGACGTAACCTCAAAACTCTCTTCCGGTGGGACTGTGAAAGTGTGGTGTGGCTCCGTTCTAATTTCACTAAAAACTAACTAAAAATGGGCAAACCAAATTTCGCCGACTTGAAAACCGACAAAGGTTTAAAAGAACTGAACGGGTTTCTGGAGAGCCGCAGCTACATCGAAGGGTAAATTAATTTTCCGGTTGTCCATATGATCTAACCTCAAACTTCCAGATACACCATTTCTCAAGCAGATTTAGACGTCTATGGTAAATTGCAAAAAGCCCCGGCCGCCAATTTACCTCACGCTTCACGTTGGTATAACCACATTAAATCTTTCACTCCGGCCGAGCTACAATCATTGGGGGTTTCTGGGGCTTGCCCGTTGAAATCCGCTGCTCCAACCACAGCACCAGCCGATGATGATGACGACGTCGACCTATTCGCTTCAGATGAAGAGGAAGACGCAGAAGCCGCACGAGTACGTGAAGAAAGACTGAAGGCCTATGCTGAAAAGAAATCCAAGAAACCAGAACTCATAGCCAAGTCTAGTATTGTCCTAGACGTGAAGCCATGGGATGATGAAACCGATATGAAAGACATGGAGAAGAACGTGCGCACTATTGAAATGGACGGTCTAGTCTGGGGTGCATCCAAACTCGTCCCAGTGGGTTATGGAATCCATAAATTACAAATCATGTGTGTGGTTGAAGATGCGAAAGTATCCGTAGACGAATTGGTTGAGAAAATACAGGACTTTGAAGATTTTGTCCAGTCCGTCGACATCGCGGCGTTTAATAAGATTTAAATTAAATTGTAACTTGGTCTGAATAAATGCTTTATTGAGAAAACATTTGCATTACTTTGTAGAGGTGTAAATTGTCAACAGATGAGGAGGTGGAACGCATGTTGGTTTTAATTGAGGGGACATAAATGTACTCTCTTGGTGCTGTAGGGTGAGCATAGCTCGATAACGACGGTTCTTTGTCTTTCTGAGGTAGCGGTTCTCTGGAACTTAAAACTGGCGGCGATTTCGCTGGAACTTGCAGCGGTATTAAATCTTTATATATTGGTCTGTCTGCGGGAAAATTAACTTTCCTTGTAACCTGAAATTTAAATTATCAAAATTTAGCGCTCATTTACAAACTCTTACCTTTTCACAAAATGCTACATCTTTCTGAAACTTCTGTGGTTTTGTTTTTTCCAGTTTGTCTATTTTGTCTGATATTTTCAAGGTGGAATGTAACTCAGGAACGTGGAACTTGGGTCGACTATTTGCCGATTTAGTTTTATGAACGTTGGGTTCCTCCGTTTTTGGTTTCTCTTTAATTTTACTTTTTCCCTCCAAAAGCAGTCGTGTTTTAGGAACTGGAAGCTCCGTATTTCGTACAAGAATTTTCTTGGGCTCACTTTTCTTTCCCTTATTCATTTTTTCAATTTCCAACGGTTTAAATTAAAAATTCAAATAAGTAAGGTTACGTCGAATTTGAGGTTATATTTTAAAACGTCAAAAGAAATAAGTTTTTAAGAGTAACTACAAATACAAGAAATATTCATACACAATGAGTGCAGAGTCAACTGGCACTGATATTTTGGATCAATACCGCAACATTTCGAACAAATTAAAAAAGTACTAAAAAATAGTATAAAAAAAAATAGCTGATAAGTCGTTTTGTAGGCGATTTCTTCGCAAACCGAACGTCACAGAAGCTTGCGAGTCTTTCAGCGCTTTGGGTAAACAATGTGAATCTTCAGAGCTGCCTTCGTATGCAGGCATGTGTTGGATATCGGCAGCTCGTTGTGAAGGCTCCTTGGGCAACATTCCAGGCGAGGCTTCGTGTTTAGTGCGGGCAGCAAGACAGTTTTTGTCCGCAGAAGCCAAAGATCATGATTTGGGTTGCCCCAGTCCGTCACAGGAAAACCTTGAAGTATAAAATGGTGTCTTCAACTTATTTGTTTTAACTGGTGTCGTTTCCAGGCAGCTTTAGGTTGCTACGCTTACGCTTCTAGCCGCTACCCCGAAGACTGCATGATTCCAATAGGATTAAGACTAGAGTTAGTTGATTTTTTGAACAAAGTAGACAGAAATGAGGATGTGGAAGAACATCTTAGAACGGCTGTGGAACTGTCTGGAGATAATTTAGACACTAAACTCTACTGTCTAGAGAGATTGGCGTCACATTATATTGAAACACGTGATTATACCGGAGCTTTAAATTCGTTTAATGAAATTGTGAATATCCTTGAGCGTCTACCGACAAATGGAGCCAGAGCTGAAATTCTTTTAAAATGTGAAGTCAGCCGGGTGTTATTGTTGTTGATTTTGCGACCAGCGCCGCAGAAACTGTCACCAAATTTAGCAAAGTTGCTTGAAAAGTACACCTGGGGAGACCAAAATGATAAAACTCTTAACGGTAATATTAAATATTTGTAAAATTAAAACTCTAGATGGAGAAGTTATTTTAGCTTGTGGAATGTCAGAACGTATGTTCATCCTTCTGCAGTCACTGGTGGCAACATGTCAGTCTTTAGATACAACAAATCTGGACCATCTAGAAAGTGAACTGTGGAAGCTAGTGGGGAATGAAGAACGAGAACTACTCAGAACTTTGGTCAAAATTTATCTTGATGTTTAAATTTTCGGTGTCAAATTTAAAGTTGGCAATGCATGTGTCAAAAGAAAAAATATGTTGGTACCCAAAACAATTGAATCAGTTTTGCTGTCGTTTTTGAGTTGGACTTGGACTGAATTTGTGAGTAGTTTTTTTAATTATATTATTTAGATTTATTTTGAACCACAACTGTAAAGCATTGTTAAAACTCATTTTGTTATGTATCAAGTGTTTACTATTAAATATTGAAACGTTGTGTCAAGTCAGCCTACTTGATATTTTTGTAGAAAATAAAAATGAAGCGTCCCTCGACATTCTGGTATTATTTTTGGCAATGTCTTTATCTCATTCCAATTACCATCAGTATTTATTACTGTCAAACAATATTCATCAACGGCCGCAATCGTCGCTACACTGAGGAAACCAATTTGGATGCAGCAGGACCAAAAGAAACAAAATGGGAAAAACTGTCGTACGAAATGATTTATCTTCGCAAAGAAATCATCCACCTGAAGGACGAATTGGAAGAAATAAGATCGTGGAAAGCCGATATGGATCAGAATTTCGAAGACAAACTTGGTGTCACTTTTGACAAGTTCTACTCAGACCAGATTGGTATTTTTGGTAATTGAGTCATTCCTGTTAATCCCCAATCTAAACACCTCCCTTTTAGACTACGCCTCTGATTACGCAGGGGGCGCAATCATTTCCACTCCTAATACAATTTCCTATCCGTCCAAGTACGGTTTGCGCTTATTTGGCATGTTCGACTTATCTGTGGACTCAGAACCCCATCTAATACTCCACCATACGACGTTCCCGAGCAAGTGCTACGCGTTTTATGGTCACCAGGGTCGCATTCAGGTTGCGTTAGGCCGGCCCGTGGTGATCACTCACGTGAGTTTGGAACACCTAAGACTCAGAGAAGATTTAAGAAGTGCGCCGAAAGATTTCGAAATTTTGGTTGGTACTCCGTCGTTTGATTTTCTCCATTAAAAAAAAAATTGTAGGGTGTGGAAGAAAATCGCGAGGAGAGTTTGGGTAATTTCGTTTACGATTTGGACGATTCAATAATTCAAACGTTCCGAGTGACTTTGAAAAATCAAACGTTTCGAAAAGTAGAGCTGCGCATACTCAGTAATCATGGAAACGATGAGTTAACTTGTGTGTACAGATTTAGAGTTCATTCGTTAAATTTGAATTTAAAATAGTTTGCTTTTCGTGCCCTTGAGCCCCTTCACTTGTTACGTCATCTACATTATTAACTCGGGGTCTGAAGTTAGCGTCTTATATAAAGAGCGTCATTTCATTTTCAAATGGGCGGTTTTGGTCCTTATGTTCAGTGTAAATAAAGTTCACTTTTAAATGGAGATATTTATTGTGACACATTTATAAAAATGACGTCATGTTATACATAATGCATTTTAAGTGTATGTACACATTTTATGTCTGTTTATAAGTTAAAACCGTTGGAGTTTGTAATGTTTGATCGTTAAAAAAATATTTAAAGTTTTGTGAAGGTTATACAAACGAAGCAGGGTGTGTAGATGCTGTGTTAACTATTCCGTCTATAAAGTAAGTAAAAAAAGGGCTTTCAGTCCCCAAAATAGAACAGTATGGGGTATTTATAGCCCGTGCAGTAGGAGACATGCAGTTGATTTCTCCCCTTTTCAGTCTGAAAATAATGGAGTTGAGGTCTAGATCCAGGTCCATGACGCCCTTCCAAACCCAAAGTTTCATTGAAGCGGAGTCCTTTGAAGGCGGGAATCATGTTTCCGTTACAAGATCGACCAGACGCACCACTGTAAGGTAAATTATCCGTCTGTTACAAATTAAAGCATTTATTTACATCACTCGCTATTTTAGAACAACGACGAACGCTGCTGAAGATTCGGCCGAATATCTCTATGAAAGTACAACAAAACCTGTTAAAAGCAAAAGTACAACAAAATCGAAACGTGCAGTTTATAGAACATCAGATTATTCTTCCGAGGACGGTGAAGTAGAGACGAATTCTCACATCTCCGAGAATGAGAAAAATCAAATCATTGAAGATGCGTTAGCGGCAGCTAATGGAAGTGCTGAAGTGTCAGCATTGAATCTGTACAGGAAAGCTGGGAGATACTGGGAGTATGTTTTTTTTTTGACGTTTACATAACCTTACTTTCTGACAAGTTCAAACAAGCGTTATCAAGTGTTGAATTAGTTTGTACAAGATTTGACTGAAGTTGAAGCTGAATTCATAGTTTGTGGTTCAGCAAATAGTGGGTGTGTTGATATTTTAATCAAAAACGCAAAATCTTACCAATTTGAGTTCTGAGCTTACAGTATGTATTACCCCTTTAGACACTGTTACTTGCTACTGCATCAGTCTAGGTTTTTTATTGTTAGTTGACACTTTTTCAATTAGTCTGTTTTCTGTTATAACTCAAGATTTTTTGTGACAAGTTGACTGAAATTCTTGTTTGTTTTTGTGAGGCTTATACTAACATTCCATGTGAATAAAAAGGCATACTATCATGTAAACTTGAATCACACTGTCCAAAAAAAAAAAAAAAATAATCAGGAAAAAAGGTGTGCCTTTATAATCTATTGCATGATCATTATCAGTATTGTTATACTGGTCATCTTGGCAAAAGTGAGGTTCATTTTGCGCTGATAATAATTGAATTAAAAACTAAAAATACATGTGCAGGTGGTAAGTTACATTTTTTATGTATTGTTGTGCAGATGATGTGGTAGATTCTCATTCAACTCATTAATATGCTAATCTAAAACTATTTTTGACTGTACAAAAAAACAATTACTACATTGTGATTTATGTTAAATTTGTAGGTATGCTGTTTGTGTATGACGTCATAGTTCAATAATGATAATGATGTTACAGAAAAAATGAACAATAACAACACCTACCACGTGTTTCTTTTATTTGATACAATCCCTGTAATAATTGTTTTATTTTTAAAGATAAACATATAGTTCTTTGAGAAAATTAGTAGCATTTTAAGGGATAACTTCTGTCAATAAATATGAATGTTTCGTCTAATTTATTGAATAACAAGTATTGATTTTAGAATATTGGTTGCTTTTGATTTTTAGAAAAAATAAATCTTTCCATTTATGAAAAAATATACCTAGTGTTCCATAAAAAAAAAAAGTAGACGTCATTTCCGGTTCTGCCCGAAGTGATAATAAAAGTGTGAGGTTGCCATCATATATATCTTTTAAAATGATACAAATTTGGTCCAAGAACTACAGGTTTATCTCTAAGAATAAAAAAGTTACAGGGGTTGTATCAAATAAAAGAAACACCCTTTATACAGAAAATATGGTATAATTTTAAGCAACTTTTTCTTAATATTTAACATTTCAAAGATAAAACCTTGAAAATTTCGCAATAAAGTTTCCAAATTTGGTTAAAAGCACATAAAATATAAATGAAATCTACCTACAAACAAATGCGTTATTAACGTAGTACATATGGAAACTAAATAATTTTTGATTGGCCAATTCAATGGGTTCAATAAAAATATTCATACTTTTCGTAAAGAAAAATCAACGAAAAATGAGTCATTGTCCGCTTTTGAGCAATTTTTGTGCATTTGACCTTCGATTTTTCCATGAAGGGACGATTCATTAAGTGTAAACTCATTCACAATTTATTAACACAATAAATATTATTTATTCATTATGTACCGAATCTGATACACGGGCTGTAAATTTAACCATAATACTAATTTCTGAAATAATCGATAAAATTCATTTATTTGTAGTCGGTAACGTCACCTCAAGCCGTATTTTTCAATAAAAATATATTTGATCTTTTTATTAAGAAATTTTGGATGTGGATTAAGAAAATAAGTACAAATATAAAAATAACAGTGACACGTACACGTATTCGTACTCTAAGGGTCATGAATCGTCGACATAACATGAAAGTGACCAGTCGTCCGATGAACTCGATTAAAGTAACTTTGCCAAATTTTTTTATTGATTTCTAATTTCGAAATAGAGTTAAATTGTTCAATCTCCTGTTTTTTTACTTCCCATCATGTTTTCTGGACGTTTCATGACCTCTAGAGTACGAAACAATAGGTCTCCCTACAATTTCGTAATTATTTTATTTTATTACTTTCCGCGTGTAAGCTGTGGAAGTACTCTTATTTTCTCGACGTTTCATATTCCTTAAATATGAAATACTAGGTCTCCCGTTTCGATCTGTTCTCAATTTTATTACATGTTTTCTTAAAATAGTAAGTGTTTACTCCATGAATATAACTTATTAGATAAGCAATCTCCGAAACTATAACTGATTGCTTTGGAATTTTAGATGTACTTTAAGATTATACTGTAAATGGTAAAATGTTAACCAAAAAGTTAAACAAAATTTTATTGAGTGATCTTACTTGAAATTTATAACGTGACTTGCGCCGGTACCTGTGATTTAACAATACATACATCGGGTGTTCAGTTAAAAAAGTCATCAAGTTGGCTTCGACATTTTGTAAAAATTATTAAACATGTTTACAATAAACCTAAATTAATAAAACACATGCGTTTTTCGCTATGTTGATTTTATAAATAATTGTTCTAGTTTTTCTGTGCACTGTTACTTCTCGAGCATAAGCCGAGGAAGTATTGTAATAGGATCTATCGGACAACTAGTTATTTTCATGTTTTCTCGACGTTTCATGACACGCCTAGAGTGCGAAACAATAAGTCACCTGTTTCCGTCTGCCTGTCTGTCATTTGTGTTGATTTTTGTTAGGCAGATAATCTCCGAAACTACCGGACCAATTGTTGTAAAATTTTGTATGTGTTATAATAATAAATATCGTGCAGATGATAGCCAAACTAACTAACCAAACGTTGTCTCCTCATCGAATCGTCAACATTTTGCTTAGTAAAAACTATTTAAATTTAATAAGGTCACATACCCCTGTCCTTGGGGTTTATGAATCCGGCTTAGTTTTTAATTATAATAATTATTTTACAAAAATGTTTGTGATATATTTGCCACATGTTCTACGTAAACGATACCTTGCGCACGTACGAGACAAGTAGGTCGTGGCCGGGTCATTTAAGGTATTGAATTTGCAACTTTTTGTCCAAGACATTGAATTAGTTTGAATGTTTGATTTCAGGTGCGAGGAAAGTTCTGCCTGACTAATGTTAGATCAAAGAAACGACTCATTTAACTCTTCAGGTCATTATTCCTGATTTATACTTATGTTTACAGAATCGTAATGACCTTATGATAAGCACAAAATGTGTTGTGGTTTTTTAGATCTGTCTTCCAAAATAATAATTATTATATTCATTGTGAAAATTATAAAAAAAATTGCACTTTTTACGTTTTCATCGTTGTCAAAATTTGTTCAGTAATATGAATCAATATGTTTACCCAAGTAAAAAATTCACAAAATTTGTATACATATTTGAAAATTAAAAAAAAGGTTTTAAATCTATTCAGAAAATAACCAAGAAAGTTAGTAAAAAAAAACTCTTCCCCAAGAAAAGGCAAAACTTGATGAAATTGAATTAGAAGTCTCGAGTTTTTGTAAGAAACAGCATCTATATTTTTGCAAATTTAGGTTGGAATTTTTTGCGAAAAATTTTAGTCATCTTGCTTTAGCATAAGTAAGAAAATAAAACAACTTCTAAACTTATTTGTACAAGGTGATCAAAGCTGACTTAGAGAAAAGTTCTAAAATGTTATCACATACAAGATTTTTTTTTTGATAAAGACCTGATTTAAATCATTCTTATTTTTTCAATTTTCTTTTTGAATAACGAAAATACATATGTGTAATGCATATCACGGTTTATCTTGTAAATGCAGTTTAAATAAAAATAAATTGAATGCTGACTAGAATAAAATATATAAAAAATATTAAATAAAACGCACATTTTCTTTTGATTTTTTATTTCCGTACCGTAGTAATAAATAATTGTAATCCGGCGAATGTCTACTTTAATTGTTTCTCGACTTCTGGACTGTTGTGGAAAAATGGATTTTCCGTTTCCGCCTGTCTGTCGTCTGTGTACATTTTGATTAGATAAATAATCTCCGAAACTATTGAACTAATTTTTGTTGTGTTTTATTTGTATTTTAGGAAGATTGTATAGATGGTAAACGCTAATCAAAATTTCTCTGATCGTCCACACGAATAATTCGTTGATATCACTTAAAAATTTTGAATAGAAAATGCTGTTTAAATTTTATAAAATAACATACTCCTTTTCTTTTTCTTTAATCCAACTTTTTCCCAACCCTAATTTCCAAATTTAAGCACAAAGTTAAAACCAAAGACCTTAAAACCAGGGTGGGCCCAATTTAAATTACTCCTATTTAAATGATTATTTAAGTCAAGTGATTTGAAAAAAAAAAAACTGATCTAAATCTTTTTTATTTTCAAATTACAGTTTGACCTCGATAATCCGAATTACTTGGGGAAAATGTGTGTTCGGATTAGCGATTGTTCAGATCAGCAAATCTCTCAAAAATCTGAAACGGAATTGAATAGCAACTTCATACATTGCTAACTAAAAACAAACTTCAAGAAATAAACCTTAAGTTTATTAAACAAAAATCACAAGCGGTCCCTGATATTCTTTCAAACTACTTCAAAAACAAACCACATGGGATCCCTGAGATTCTTTCAAATTACTTAAAAAACAGGACCCACAGGGGGTCCCCGAAATTCTTTCAAACTACTTCAAAAACAAAACACAAGGGGTCCCTGAGATTCTTTCAAATTACGTCAAAAACAAGACCAACAGGGGGTCCCTGAGATTCTTTCAAACTACTTCAAAAACAAACACACGAAGTCCCCGTGATTCTTTCAAACTACTTCAAAAACAAACACAAGAAGTCCCCGTGATTCTTTCAATCTACTTCAAAAACAAATCATAAGGGGTCTCTGAGATCTTTTCAAATTACGTCAAAAACAAGACCAACAGGGGGTCCCCAAGATTCTTTCAAACTAAGTACTTCAAAAACAAACACAAGAAGTCCCCGTGATTCTTTCAAACTACTTCAAAAACAAAACAAAAGCGGATCCCCGAGATTCTTTCAAACTGTTTTAAAAATAAGACACAAGTCGTTTCCGAAATTTTTTTAAATTACTTCAAAAACAAGGCCCATAGAGGAGGAGAATAGGGGTGGGTGGGCGGTGCCACTTTTGACTTGTACAGTAAAACCTGTCTATGCCGGAATCGCGCGGGTCCAAAATTTTTATCCGTCTTAAACAGGGTTCCGGCTTTTACAGGAAACCCGGCTATGACGGACAGTAAACCTCTATAAAACGGAAATAGTAATTTACGCAACTAGTTCGGGATAGCCTGCTTCCCGCATGAACGCTTGTTTGAGGCACGACCGAAGGGAGTGCCGCAT